TCACCCTGAGCCCTCCACCCTCAGAAAATACTCTGGACATTACAATGCTGAGTACAGAGCCAGGGGAACACTCCACCTCGTGCCTGGAAGCACGGTGGAGGCCATATGGGGCGTTCCAAACAGGCCTTGCCTTCGAGGATCGAAGGAGTTGTCATCTCTTCCGCCGCGGAAGGCGGCGGAAGGTCGGCGGAAGTAAACTGAGGCTGCCTTCGCCAGCGGAAGCCGGCGGAAGCTCGGCGGAAGGCGGCGGAAGTAAAAGATGCGCCCCCAGGAGATGAACACGTTTTTGGGTTCAGGGTTTTCGTCGAAATCGCCCATCCATGTACACGCATGCATGTGTAAGTGAATCGATATTGGCAAACATCATTCCCTCCGCACCGACGAGCCGGGGTGGGTCAGTATGGTTTCACCGATCCCTATCCCAATCCTCATCCGCATCTCGAGCCCCATCGTCTCACCACCTCAGTTGGGGAGATGCCCCTCGAAATCCGAAGAGAGCAGCCGATATCCCCATCAGGAGGGGAAATCGGCCAGTGTCGCCCAGCCCACGCTGGTGGGGATGGGGATCGGTGGAACTCGACCAGACGTAAGAGTGACCGCTCGCCAGAGTGACCCTTGGTGCGGGCACAGATGGGTCCCCAGGTGGCTGAAAACGGGGCAGGAGCAGCGGCTTGCGCGCCCAGGTTTGGCCCCCCCGCGGCCGCCCAAAAAGCCGCGCACCAAAGGTCACTCTTACCCAGGATCATTCTTTCGTGTAGCCGATGAACGATGCTCAGTGGGGGGGGGGGGCGCCGCGCCCGCCCTCTCCGATCGCCGCCGGCCCCTCCTGCGCGCAGGGTGGGCGGAGCAGTGCTACCCGACGAGCGGGCACGCTGGCCACCAGGCGCGCTCCGGGGGGGGGGGGAGCGGGGGGCAGGGGGGGAGAGGGGAAAGGAATGATGAGGAGAAAGAGGAAGAGAAGAGGAGGAGGAGGAGGAGGAGGAGGAGGAGGAGGAGGTAATTCTTTACGCTTCGCGTATCCCCACCAGCCCATCTCACAGCAGCAACTCTCGCGAAGCATGCCGACAGTCGTGTTTTTCAGGCGTGTGTCCGCTTGGCCCCGCATATCTCCCCTGTTCCCGATGTTCCTCCCTTCCTACGCTGTTATATATATAACATCCTCCTTGTGTGGGAGCGGGAGAAGGGACTAGCGGAGGAGGAGGGAGAGAAAGCGCTCCTCGTGATTTGAGTCGTTTGGGGTTCCTCGTCCTGGTGTGAGGTGTGAGTCGTTCGGGCCCCTTCTTCAGGTGTGAGGTCGTTGGCGGCTCTTACGTGGTGTGAGTCGTTCGGGCTCTTCGTCGTGGTGTGGGTCGTTCGGGCTCCTCGTGGTGTGAGTCGTTCGGGCGCCTCGTCTTGGTGCGAGTCGTTCGGGCCCCTCCTCCTGGTGTGACTCGTTCGGGCTCCTCGTGGTGTGAGTCGTTCGAGGCCCGCGTCGTGGTGTGGGTCGTTCGGGCTCCTCGTGGTGTGAGTCGTTCGGGCGCCTCGTCCTGGTGTGAGTCGTTCGGGCCCCGCCTTGTGGTGTGAGTCGTTCGGGCTCTTCGTGGTGTGAGTCGTTCGGGCCCCTCCTCCTGGTGTGAGTCGTTCGGGCTCCTCGTGGGGCCTCTTGGGGGCCTCTTGGAGCCTCTTGGGGCCTCGTGGGGGCCTCTTGGGGGCCTCTTGGGGGCCTCTAGGGGGCCTCTTGGGGGCCTCTTGGGGCCTCTTGGGGGCCTCTTGGGTGCCTCTTGGGGGCCTCTTGGGGCCTCTTGGGGGCCTCTTGGGGGCCTCTTGGAGGCCTCTAGGGAGCCTCCTGGGGGCCTCTTGGGGCCATCTTGGGGCCTCTTGCGACCTCCTCAGAAGCGCAAATGAGCGCTGCCCCCTGATAAGGACAAAATGAGCCCAAAACCTTCGTTAAATCAATGATTTTGCTATGAGCTTTAATGAGCGCGGCCCCCGCAGGAGGCCAAAATGGGGCCAAAACCGTAGTAAAATCAATGATTTGGGCTTCAAAGAAGAGGAGAGGGGCCTATCTCCGTCCCCCCGTCGGGGCCAGAATCCTCGTGAGGGTCGTAGCCCTCCCAGGAGTCGGAAAAGACCCCTCCAACGACCCGCGGAACCCCCTCTCCAGGCCCAGGGGAGGGGGTAGGGGGAGGGGTAAACCCCTCCCCGAAGGGCAAGAAGAGGGGTTGAGAACAGAGAGAGCTCCCTAAACCACTCACGCCCAAAGGGCTGGTGGGACTAGAGGAGGAGGAGGAGGTAGAGGAGGAGGAGGACGAGGAGGAGGAGGTGGAGGTGGAGGAGGAGGAGAAGGAGGAGGAGGAGGAGGAGGAGGAGGAGAAGGTGGTTTGAGCAGGCGGGAGGGCGAGAGGACCAGATCGTTTGGGGGATCGACTCGGCAGGAGGAAGCATCGTCCCCCCTCTGGGGGGCTAGGAGTTTGGGGCTCAAAGCTAAACACAATTGTGGCGGCCATGCCCGGCAGCGAAAGCGAAAGCCTTGCCCGGCTGCGATCGCCAACAAGAGCCCGAACCATCCAGCCTGGCCGGGGGCTCAGGATTTCAGGCCCCTCAGAGGACGCGCAATGGGGATGCGATAAGTGAGGGGCAACGAGGTTTGTAAGAAGGGGCCTTGTAGGGCCCGAGAAGTGTACTCTTCTTCCCCACCATCTATCGCCCCCCATTTATTCGCGCCCAACCCGCTTTTTAGACAATAGCGGAGCTTCCCTCCCTCGGTAACGCGCAGAGGTTGGTAGGGGATGGGGGAGGGGGGAAGGTTTCTTGAAAGCACCCCTGCTTCTTAGAAGGTGCTGGCCGTGTCTTTAAATGTAGGGCCGGCGCCTCCTTAACAGCAGCCCTCTGGTAAGAAGCTTCCCCCCCTCACTCCTCCCTACCCCCACCTTGTCTACCTCAACATCCCAATATGACGTGCTGCGCGAGAAGAAGGGAGCAACAGTTCAGTCGCGCGCTTGATGCCTTTGCTGTCAGCCGTGGCACGAGGAAGAGGGCAACACGCAGGAGCAGCGCGAGAGAACGAGCGCAGAGCGCAGGAGGGAGAGGGAGGGAAGGGCGGCAACGGCGAGGCAGGTGCCGGATCCAGCCACGCCGCCCGCGCTCGGGCGAGAGCGCCTGCCTGACCAACGGGGGCAAAGCGCCGATGCTGGAGTGCGGCCAGCGCTGCGGTGGAACATGATGCTCTGAAGGACCGGGAGCGCTCCGATCGATACGCTCATACGCTCATGCGCAGGGCCGAACTGTGAAAATGCGGTGTGCGCGTGGTGGAAGCAGTTCGCGACAGACGTGTGCGCCCAGCAGATCGTGCATCTTCGCAGGTGTTCTAGAAAGAAGCGGAGGGAACAACGGAGAAGGAGGGAAGGAAGAAACACGAGAAGGAGGAGGAGGCGGAGGGGGAGGAACAGGATGGCAAGATGGAGGAGGAGTAGGAGGAGGAGGACAAGGAAGTGAATGGATGTATAGGTGAAGGGAGGAGGGGATGGAGTAAGGGAAGGGCAAGGTGTAGGAGGATGTGGAAGAGGTGAAGGAGGATATGGACAAATACATTATGGTGCGGGGGCGAAGGACGAGGAGTAGCAGGAGGAGGTGATCAGAGGTATTGCTTCGCGAGTAAAGAGGAGGGGTTGGGGAAGAATGAGGAACAGGCTGGGGAAGGGTGGGATGAAAGAGTCAGGTGGGGTGGCACGGAGAAGAGAGGAAGAATGCGGAGGGGGGATTACGCGACAGGAAGAGGGAGGAGGGAGGAGGCCAGGAAGACGGCGGAGGCGGGGGAGAGAAAGGAGTTGTCGGGAAGAGGAGGAGGGAGCACGAGAGAAGAGGAGGAGGAGGAGGAGTAGGAGGAGGAGGAGGAGGACGAGGAGGAAGAGGGAGGACGTAGAGGAGGGAGGGGTAGGGAGGTGGAGGAGGGTAGGAAGAGGAGGATGAGGAGGAGGGAGGGAGGAGGAGGAGGAGGCGGAGGAGGAGGGAGGAGGAACAGGAGGAGGAGGAGGAGGAGGAGGAGGAGGAGGAGGAGGAGAGGAGGAGGAGGGGCTGCACTCTGAACCCTTGGTGCCCCTCCCTCCCCCCCGGCCGCGCGGGAGGCTGGCGAGGGCATCTGCGACGCGTCGCTGCCCGTCCTGGTGTCGGCGTCGCCCGCGGGGCGGGCGGCATGGCTGGCGGGCACGCGGGGACCTCCTCCTCCTCCTCCTCCTCCTCCTCCTCCTCCTCTTCCTCCTCCTCCTCCTCCTCCTCCTCCTCCTCTCCTCCTCGGGGCCCGCGCACAGGGGGTCGGCGCCAAGGGGGATGAAACGTCTTCGCCACGTGTCGGGCCCCGGGGCCGTCACAGCTGGATCCGGCTCGACACGCGGTGCAACGAGTGGGGCCTCGGGCTCCCGCCGTGATGTGCTACGAGGTTTCGTGTCTGTTCGCGACGTCGGATCTCACGGGTCAGCCCGCACGGGGGTCAGCCGATCCCTTCTGGCTGCCCCGTGTGTGGGAGCCACGTGCGGCCGATGTCCCTTCGCTCCGCCCTCTGCTGGCCCCGGTCTGGTGGCTGCTGACCGACCGAGCTGGGATCCCGCCGGTGCCCTGGCTGACCTGGCCTTGCGCTGACCCGAGCTAGTGCGTCCTCGAGCTTCCCCGCCTCACTTGTTCTGTGGCAGTTCATGGGGGCCTCCCGTACGTACCATCTTGCTCGCGCGAGCGAATCGAGGCTAACCGACGCAGTGGATGCTAGTCGACGCTAGCCGACGCTTCATCGACGCTCAATCGGCACGGCGAGCGCGCGGAGCGCGGTGCCCTGGCGCAAGCGAGCAGCTGGACAGCACCGGTGGGGGGACCGTTTTTTGGGGCAGCAGACGCGTGGAAGAAGACACCCGCCTGCCATCAGGTGCGCCTCGATCGAAGGACACGCTCCAGGGATTAGAAGGATTTGCCCCAACCAGACGACGCTGGTCCCAGCCGCCCAGTGATCTTTTCCCAAGCATTGCTTCAGCGTGGCCTCTCAGAGGAATTTGGCTCGCAGTTCGGCGCGAGCCAGCAGCTGCGCCCCGAAAGTTTCTTATCCCCCGATAAACCCGAGGCCTACAGAAGTTTTGGGGCAGGACGCTCACATTTTGAGGGCAAGCGTCCCCCTTGCGACCCAGCGGGGGCATGTTGACTGCTGCGAGGGTTGGAGCCGCAAGGCTTGGAACTTCGGCGGGCACCTGCCAGGAGGGACGTGCAGGAACCGCCGTGTGCCGAACTGAGTTCTGCATGCGGTGATGATGCGCGCAGAAACGGCAGATCAGGAGGCGGGCAGAGCGGACGACGCGTCTCGCCTATAGCGGGGCCTCGAAAGTGCTGCTGGACGTGGATCAGGAGAGAACAAGAACACATAGACACAATTAATCGTCGATCCCCCGGAAAAAACTGAAACTATGGGAAGGGGGGGGAAGACACAAACCCAGACAATATTGGAAAATATAGGGAATCCTGTTATTCGTGTGTATTTATTTGTGTGTCCCAGGGCCCCTTCAGTGGAGTGGCAGGAGGGCATGTATTGGGAGCCCGACATCGCACGCCATCGCGCATGCATGGCCTGGCGCACTCGCGCGAGATTTGCCCGCCTCCATGCTCCGCAAGCTGAAGAGCTGGGCAGCGAGCTTGCGGCGCGATTGGCGCTTGCCATTGTCGGGCGGGCCTGGGACAGGGTAGAATCGCTCCATGCCGCTCCGCCACGCTCTCAGTGTCCGGGAGCAAACTGGAACGGCCGCGGCGCTCGATACAGGCTCCAGAGGCCAGAGCCGCCAGATCTCAGAGATCCCTGACTTGTCTCGGGCCTGTGTTGTCCGAGTTTTAGCTCCGTCCCAGAGTTGGCGGTGCCCTCGCGATCACATACATGCTTATGTTTGTATGTGTACATGTATATATGCATGCGTGTATGCACATATGTATGGATAGATGGATGTATGTATGTATGTAGTGTGTATGTATGTATGTATGTATGTATGTATGTATGTATGTATGTATCTATCTATCTATGTATGTATGTATGTATGTATGTATGTACGTATGTATGCATGTATGTAGGTAGACAGGTAGGTAGGTAGGTAGGTAGGTCGGTAGGTAGGTAGGTAGGTATGTAGGTAGGTATGTATGGATGAATGTATGCATATATGCATGTATGTATGTGTATATGCATGCAGGCGTGCATGCATGTATGCATGTATGTATGCAGGTATGTATGTAGGTATATATGTACGAACGTATGCAGACGTGCATGGTTGTATGCATGTATTAATGTATGCATTCATGCATGTATATATGCATGTAGGTATTTAGGTATATAGGTATGTAATTATAGTTTTATATCTATATTATATATACACATACATATATACACACTTATTTAAGTGTATATATATGTGTGTAGGGTTCCTGACGGCCGACATGTCCTGAAGAGCCGAAAAGCGCCCATGTTGCGCGCGCAGTTTGGCACCAGCCTCCGCGCGGGCCGCCAGGTCGCTGCTCCTCCTCGTGGTGGTGGTGGCGACGGTGGTGGTTGGCAGGCGGGCTTTCCCGCGCGCGCGGGCGTAACGGTGGAAGGTCAGGGGCCACGGCTGGGTGGCGATAGGCTCAGGGGGGAGGGGGCATCGACCACAATAGCCCATTCATCGCCGATAGGGGCCCGAAAGCCCACCTGGCACAGCAGCGCCTGGATTCGCTAACTCTGTGGCCTGTCGCCGATGTATCGGCGACGCGACGCCGATCCACGGTCCATGTTTCACCCCCTGAGCTGGTCCCCCGCTGCGCCGTTCCGCCGCGCCGCAAGGGAAGCGGAAGGGACGGCTCGGCGTTCCGTCACGGCGCGGCGTTGTCCACGACAGTTGATGACTTGGTATCGCTCGGACGCGTGCACTTTTCTCGGCGGGGGTTACTAAGGAGCATCCTGGATCATCCTGCGAAACAACCACGCACGAAACCCAACAAAAAACATAGGGAATGGGCGTCCGAGCGACGAGGAGATGATGGGCAGGGGGGGCGGGCGGCCTCCCGGCAGGAGGAACGCTGCGAGCGCGTTTCGGTCCGGAGGCTGGCAGGCTTGCTTCAGCACGGAGAGGGTCGCAGGCCTAGAGGTTGACACCAGCACCAAGATCGGCGGTGTGCCTCCACCAGGGGAAGACGATCCCGATCTCGGCGATGGTGGTAATTTTCTGGCTTCCAAGGTGACCGAAAACTCAAGTCCGGGCCATTGTCACGGTACGTTTTTGGGCTCCCATCGTCGCTTTCTTTTTCGGTTGCTTCTCCCATGTCTAGGATTGTTATCCTTCTTGTTATCCGTCATGAATGTTTATCCTCTCTCTCTCAGGATCTCTCTCGATCTCCCTCTCTCTCAATCTCATCTTCATTCTCTCTCTCTCTCTCGCACATTCCCTCCAAGGCCTCCTCCTCGCGCTCATGCCCCTCCTTCCCCCTCCCCCTGCTGCTGCTCCTCCTCCTCTTCCTCTTCCCCCTCCTCATCCGTTGCCTCTTCCTTATTCTCTTTTGCCCTCCCCCTCCTCCTCGTCATCATCCTTCCTCTCCCACTCCTCCATCTCCCCTCCTCCTCGTTCTCCTTGTTCTCCCCAGGCTCCTCCTCCTTCTCCTGCTCCTTTCGGCTTCAGATCCAATGGAAAAAGACCAGCAAAGTGCTGTAACGGCGCCGGGTGTCGTAACGGCGCTGGCGCGCCCCGCATCTGAACCACCTGGGCAACGCCAGCCGGGCGTCGTAACGGCGCCGGCGTGCTCTGGGGCTCCATCGGATCATGGCGTCGTAATGCTGCCGGCGCGCGACTGCCACCAGGAGGCTGTGCCGGCGGATCCGCTGACTTTGCAGCCTGGGGGGGGGAGTTCTTGAGGTGCGAGGAGTGAGGCCGCCTGCGTGAGCCCGTCCGCGCGCCGCCAATGCAATACCCGGACCTGCCAGAGGTTGGAATCAGATTCCCCAGAGTCGGCCCCCGGTGCCCGCGGCGTTTTCAGGTAGCGTTCGATACCTCGAGCTCCAGGCCCGCGGAGTTTTGGGAGGGGGTCCTTCTGAGGTGGGGGGCGTTGTTTCGGAAGTGAGGCTGCCTGTTCTCACACATAGCATTGACCAGTATATTTTAGAAGCCGTTGCAGAAGACGCCGGTCGAGTTTTCGTTCCTAGACCCCGAGCCAAGCCGAGAGGGCGTGGGAGGGGGAGGGGGGTAGTCCCCTAGCTCTGAGTGGGTTTCTTGCTATGGACGGGCAGCGCCACCGGCCCCCGAGAGGCTATCGCCTCACTGGGCGGTCGCTGGGCCTGTGCGTGCCCCGCCTGCGGGAGTGGCCCTTGAGGGGGCTGCCATTTGAGGCCACGTAGATCCAACTTTGTGGCTGTGCGTGATATGTAGCACTCTCATGGATCCTATGGTTATTGCTTGCTTGCTTGCTTGCTTCCTCCTCCCCTTCCCCCTCCTCCTTCCACCTTCCCCTCCTTCTCATCCTCTTCCTGCCCCTTCAGTCCTCCTGATCCTCCTCCCCATACTTCAAGCCGCTTGAAGAAAAACGAAAGGAGGATGTGGAGGGGGGCGGTAGTGGTAGATAGGGAAGGACGCGGCGAAGGAGAAGGAGGAGAGGGAAGGGAGGAGGAGAAGGACGAGGATGAGGGGAGGATTTGGAGGAGGAGGAGGAGGATTAGTGGAAAGGGGCGGAGGAGGAAGAGGAGGAAAAGGACGCGTAGGAGGCGGATGATGTGTATGAGGAGGAGGAGGAGGAGGAAGGGGAGGAGGAGGAGGAGGGGGAGGAGGAGAAGGAGGAGAGAGGGATGAGAAACAGAGGAGGAGGGAAATTGGATGAGGAACGGGAGGAGGGATAGTATGGGAGGAGCAGGAAGAGGAGGAGGGGGAGCGGGGGCGGTCCGCCTGAAAAGGAATCCCGTTGCAATCCGCACAAAAGAGATTATGGCGTAATCCGCCGCCAAAAGGATCCTTCTGTAATCCGCCACAAAGGAGTCCTGCTGTAAGCCTCCACGAAAAGAATCCTTTGGTACTCCGCCGCAAAAAGAATTCTATTGTAAGCCATTGCGCATGGGATCTGTTTTCAGATGCCACAGAAGGATTTGTTTGTAATCCGTCACAAAATGAATATTTTTATGACCCACAGAAATTGGGAACCCTTTGCTAATCCAACTCAAAAGGAATCCTTGCACCGCCGCCTCAGAGGAAAGGCGCTCGTCCCGCCGAACAAGGAAAACGAACAGAGGGAAACAAGACACAAAGAAACATACCTGTAAGAACATAGCGAAAGCAAGGAAACCACACATTATCTTCAGTACGCGAAAAGGGAAATAGGAACATTGGAGCGACACTAGGAATCATTGCGCGTAAGGTTCCGCAAAGGAAATCCTTTTTGTAATCCTGTGCAGGGGGATTCCTTTTGTGGAGGACGATTTCCTTTCGTGGCGAATTGGTAATGGATTTCTGTTGTGGGAAATTACACAACGGTTTTCTTTGCGGATGGTGGAGCCTTTTGTATCCCGCATAAAATTCATTTTTTTATAATCCGCCGGACACAGGATCATTGTGTAACCAGCCACACAAGGAGTCCGATTGTAAGCTTCCACAAGAAGAATCCTTTTTGTACGCCGCCACAACAGAAATCTTCTTGTGACCCATTACATACGGAATTCTTTCGCAAGGTGCAATACAAGGAGTCCATTTGGAATGCGCCACAAACGGATTCTCTTTGTAACCCGCACAGAAGGAACCCTTTTGCAATTCACCTCAAAAAGGATCCCTTTTGTAATCCGCCACAGAGGAAAGACGTTTCCCCCTTCCGAACAAGGTACGAACAAACAGGACAACAAGGAACAATCTGACAAATACGAGGGGGAAAAAGCGGAACAAAGGAAACACTGATACTCCCCAATCAGAGCTTGCCTCTGTAGGGGCCCAAGCGGATTCATATGGTTAGGTTCGGTTTGTCGCCGATTTTCGCGGCACGCCCGGGTGCCCGGGGGTGCCCGGGTGTCCGGGTGCCCGGGTGCCCGGGCGTGCCCGGGAGTGGCCTGTAGCCCTATAGTTTTATAGCCTTAAGCCCTATAACCCTATAGCCTTATGGCCCAATAGCCCTATAGCCCTATCGCTCTATCCCCCTTAGCCATATAGCCCTGATTGGGGTGCGTTGTCGTCGTGGTCGTTGTCGTGGGTCGTCTCCGTCGTCGTGCTTGTCGTCGTCGTGGTCTTCAGCGGGCCTACCACCCCCTTGTCCCCCCTCCCAGGGCATCCGCAGTGCGTCGTCGTTGCCGTCGTCGTCCGGCGTCGTAGCGGTGGTCGTCCCAGTCCTCGTTCCCGTCGTCGTCGTCGTCGTCATTTTTGTCTTCGTTCACGTTCTCGTCCTCGTTTTGGTCGTCGTCGTTGGCACTCGGCACTCGGCGTCGTCGTCATCGTCGTCGTCTTCGCCTTCGTCGTCGTCGTATTTGTTCTCGTCGTTGTCCTCGTCCTCGTTCTTGTCGTCGTCGCCGTCGTTGTCGTCGTTGCTGTCGTCGTCGTCGTCGTCGTTGTCGTCGACTACAGTGGGCCTACGCAGTACCCCCCACCGCCACATCGGGCATCCGCCGTGCGTCGTCGTCGTCGTCGCCGCCGCCGTTGTCGTCGTTGTCGTCGCAGCCGCCGCCGCCACCGTTGTCGTAGTCGTCGTCGTCGTCCTCGTCCTCGTTCTCGTCGTCGTCGTCGTCGTCATCGTTGTCGTCGTCGTCGTAATCTTGTCTTCTGTTGCAACTATGGCGTACGCAGGGCGTCGTCGTCGTCCATCGTCGTCGCCGTCGTTGTCGTCGTCGTCGTCGCGTCCGCCGTCGTCGTTGTCGTCGTCGTCGACGACTACAGCGGGCATGTGCAGCACCCCCCATCCACCGTCGCCGTCACCGTCGCCGCCATGCCGCAGTCGTCGTCGTCGTCGGCGGCGAAAGAGTTTATAGTGGAGGGGGGAAGGAGGGAAAAAGACACAGAGGATTCCTTTTCCGCCCTGATTTTCTGCTCCCCCCCTCTCGTCTTTTTTCTGTTTATAGCCTTGTTGGCACCGCCCGCCAGCCGAGGCGCCTCTTTCCCCCGCTTCCTCTTTCTCTCCTGCCTGTAGCCGTTTTGGCCCAATCGCCCCTATATCGGAGGCGCTGCTGTCCCCGACGCCGCTTGCGTCGCGCATGTTGCCTTCGTGCAGTCGTCAGGGCGTCGGCGCTAGTCACCCGCGCCGCCGCCGCCGCTTGTTTCAATATGGCGGGCGCCCGCACCGCGATTCGTTTTAGCAGAGGAAACATGGTTCAATTCGCCGGCCCAACGGGCCAGAGGCGCGCTAAGATCTCCGGTGACTGGTTAACAATTCTCTAGTTCGCGCGCGCGGGGCGGCCCCTGGGGGTCCCCGGACGAAAAGTACCCCGGGCGAGTCCCGGCTGATCCCCGGGCGACTCCACCAGAGCGCTCCATGAGCGCACCAACAGGGCTCCGAGACGTCCCCGAGAGCCCCAAGAAAGGCCAAGAGGCCCCCAAGATGGTACAGGAGGGATCCGACATGCCACAAG